CTACATCCCAGTATTACTCTCCTGTGTCTCTCTTGCCCCCAGCAACATTGATCTCCTTTCTGGTCTTCAAAATAGCAAGTGGTGCTTCCCCACAGAGACTATGGAGTTGATCTTCCTTCTTCCTGGGAAACTCCACCCAACAAATCTTCCCATGATAGGAAGCTCCTTGTCCTCCTCAGATCACAACTCAGTGTCACTTCTTTAAAGAGTATTTCCCCAAGTATCCCATCAAAAGTAGCCCTCTTTCCCATGACTTTTCTTCATTTGTTTGTTTATGCGTATATAATCCAGTTATCCATTTAGAATGCCAGCTCCTTGAGAGCAAGGATCTTATGTGTATTTTCTTCACAGATACATAGGTAATTAATCAATATTGTTGAATGAAGGAATGGAAATGAATAGGTGAATGAATAGGGTAATAGAGTTCTTCCCATTAATATCTCTCTAATGTCACTCCTCCCAATTTTGCCATGACTAGGCAAAATGGCTAGGAATCAGGCAATGAGGAACAGGAGATATAGTTCTACAGAGCAGTATGAAAAGAGTGTAAAGAGAGATTGGAAAAAGAAAATCTTAATTTCGGAGAAAGAGTACAATTTTTAATACATTATTACAGTCTCTCAATTCTGGGTCTTCTAAATCAGGAATCTAAAAGTAAAAAGTGCCTATGTCCTATAAAACATTGTATAAACTGTATTTTCTGAGTTGGGATATTTAAAATGTACCAGGAAATATGTTACATAACTAATGAATTCTTTTAAGAGTATTTCCAATAGATCAAAGTAAGGATTTTCATCTATTAAGTTTTCATGAAGCAGTATAGCCATGTTGTTAATTGACATGAAATGTATTATAAGATTTCATCTTTTTCACAGTTGATGCATGAACACATAACCAGATAAAGGTGATTAGAAAAAAAAATAAAAATAAATGTGCTGTTTACATTTCAGTGGAAAACTGACCTTAATATATTACTGAAAAAATATATTTTAGTTAAATTTTATTTAAAATTTAGCTAAAATTATTCTGCTCAAGGAAATTTAAAAAGACNAACACATAACCAGATAAAGGTGATTAGAAAAAAAAATAAAAATAAATGTGCTGTTTACATTTCAGTGGAAAACTGACCTTAATATATTACTGAAAAAATATATTTTAGTTAAATTTTATTTAAAATTTAGCTAAAATTATTCTGCTCAAGGAAATTTAAAAAGACCGTAACTTAGAAAATATCTGTGTAAATCTCTTCGAGAGTTTACATTTATATACTATATTCACACAAGTTGGTCAGTCAATAACTTTTAAAAGCACAAATAGAGTATAATTATGCATAATACACAATTATATTTGTTTTAACTACAAAAATTATATTCTATGACTATGCTTGGACTTCTATGTAATATGGGAAAAACTTGTTTCTTAATAAAAGCATATTAACTAGGCTATTAATAATCAGGTTCCTAATGTGGTATCACATTTTAAAGTAAAAAAACTACATTCCTATTATGTTACAGATTAATACTTGTTCTCAGAACTATTTCCAAAAAAGAAAAAAAATTCTTACCAGACATAAACTGTGTAATAGAGGATAATTCCATTTGGCTCCAGGGGTGGTTGCCATGACAACTTCATTGTGACACCAGACAACTGTTTTACAGAGAAGTCTTTGGGGGGAGAATCAGGAGCTGAAATGTTAGAGTATAGGACAATGCATTTTATTAAACATATGTGAAGAAGGTTAAAATTAAAATGCGCAAAATTTTTATAATACATTTTCTGGTAAATGAATCAGGTACAGCACCTTTCTCCATGGGCATGGGAACCTGATTGTTTACTCTCAAAATGAGATGATAAAAGAAGATTTTGCATGGTGGTGTAAGAACATCTGTTTCAATGATTCAATGGAAAAAAATATTTCATGAGAAAAAAGAACAAGGGGTATGTCACAGTGATTCACCTACTGTTCCAGTACAGCTTGGTGAATTATCATCCTCTCATAAAAATAAAACTATGTAGTGAATAAATATAATATACAGTTAAAGAGCTCCCTCAAAATAAAATTGGTGGGAAAAAAAATCACACAACCAAGAATCAGAAAAGTGATAAGCAAAGCATTGGGAAGCAGTTAAAATGACTGACTTCACAAATAAAAACTTCCTCAATTGCAGTCGTGTCAATAAAATGTAAAATAATATCAAAATCTGTTCACTGAGATTTGAAATTGAGTGGTTTCCAAAGGAAGCACCAATGTAGCACATAAACAGGAAAATACAGTTTTGGGTCTCCTAATTCTTCTATAAGAGTGTAAGGATTCAAATACTTTAGCTATTCTGCATTGAGTAAGCACTAAAAAAAATTACTGTAAACTAGTTAAGTTCATATTTCTATTTACATAAAACATTTAGAATGGCATTTCTCAACTTCTGTATAATAGAACAGAAATATCTTAGAATATTAATTATTACTTTTGCATATAAAAGGGTATAAATTACTAAAACTTGGATAATTATTATAATTATACATG